GAAATATTTCGTTTTTGTTATATATGTGAAAGGAGGGTTGATTTTTCTATCGATTTCTATCGAATATTAGAAGTGAATATTTGTGAAAGGTCATAAAAACTTGCTTTTTCTGAAGTTCAAACGACGGCCAATTTTTAAGAGCTAATTTCTGTTCAGTTTTGCATAAGTTTTGCTAAATATTATCTACATATTTAACGTTGATGAATTTCTTTCATCTCAAGCGATTTTCATCTTTAGTGAATTTGGTTTTCATCGGGATATCTGAGTGTGTAAAAGTTTCGATCTAGTGCTTCTCAAGATGAATATTAAAACAAAACATTTCCAAGGTTTTATATAAATACAACAAAATAGACGAAATTGTGAAAAATAATGTAATCAACCTGTATATAACAAACTATGAATGATGTGTATTCATCTATGATATGGGTGTCGGTGTGGTTGGACTGAAGACAATCACTCACACCCACACCCTACTTTCTTCATCCAACGGTATATATTTCTCAACAGAAAAAAATTTTGTCACATTACTTGAACAACAAAACTTAAAAAATACTGCAGAGCTTTACATATAATGTTTTTCGTCAGCATAGTCAGAAATTGAAATTATCTTTCAATTGATGTGAACAGATGAATATAAATGAATAGCACATTGCACTCTTTTCTAATTCACCACGTTGGGTTTAAATCTATTTTAACTGTGACTGTTTTTAATCGAATCAAATCCCAAACTCTCTCAATCTTTATTTGACATAATTATTGTCCATATTTTTCCAATGTATTTTACTTACTTTGGACGTATACACGTGACTGTCAGATTGTGAATATGCAAGAGAAGAAGATCTACACTTAAAACTGTTTGAATAATCATGTGTCAAAATATTTTACTAAAGAATAAAACAAAGTGTTTGACGAGATAGATTTATTTATGTATGCAAGACCTTGATTGTTTATTTCAAAACAATCTATTGTTCGAAATCGATTTTAAATATGATCTTAGGACTTATGTGTTCGATTGTTTTTTTTTATAATGATAAAAGATACAGTGATGTTAGTTCTCCGGATTATAGAAGTAAAAGAAACATTTGAAGTGAACTAATCGATTAAAATATTGTCAAATGTGCCATCAATACTCAAAATGATTGCTTTTATAAGTTCTAAATATCAAGATATGTATAGTAGGTTCATTATTTATATGATATTTTGTCGTGAACAAAGTGATATTTGCTATCCCATGCGTAAAATCTTACTCAATAATATGGCATGATTGAGTATAGATATTGAGAGGAAAAAGGTATAAAATACTGAAAAGTCGAGTATTCACAGAGCAGGATTAATATTCTAATAAAACCTTAGACTATTATGTTGCTTATTTAAAAAGTCTGATCGTTGAATCATGAAGTTCTTCACATTCATGCTCGGTATCGTCTATTATTAGTAGATTTCTTCTTGTTCATTCTCTGTAGAAAAAAAAATAAAGATTTCTATTAATATTGTTAATATGACCCTCTTGACAGAACTGTTTCATATTCATCAGGACAGACACGACGAGTAAATTCATCGACACAAGCCATTCGAAGACGTTCGACAGTTGCTGGTGAATGAAGTGAAAAATAGCCTGATAAACTTTGTTGTTCTCGATAGACTTGACACGCTTGTTTTAAAGCAACAAAAGCTGATGCAGCAAGTAAAATTGACGGTTCACCAATACCTTTCGAAGAATAGATGGCTCGCGGATTTAATGAATTAGATAATAATGAAACACGAAAATCAATCGGAACATCACTAAACGATGGAATCTTGTAAGTATCAACTCCACAAGTGTATAATTGTCCTGATGGAATCCATTTATTGAATTTTTTATCACCCCGGATAAGTTCTTCCATAGTAAAAAGTCCAACTCCTTGTATGAAATCGCCTTCAATTTGACCAATATCAATTTGTGGATTGAGTAATGTTCCGACATCCTACAAAAATTAAAACTGCAAATATTGCCAATCATAAATTTTAACTTACCATCAGTATATCAACGTCACCGCTGCTCCTTGTGTAAAATAATTGTAATTAACTTTATTATTTGTAAAATCAGCACTGAACATATTCGGTGTTATATAGAATCCACGTGCAAATAAATCAATAAGAGCAAAATAAGCTTGTTTTACAAGATTTTCCTATGAAATATTAGCATTATTATCAATAATAAGTGTATCTAATCGTTGACGAATTTGTTCACAAGCGTGTCTTACAGCCATTCCATTAAGATCTGATGAAGTTGATGTACCTGTCGGAGTTGTATTATGAATTTTATCTGTCGCTGTTTCACTAATTCGTATTTGATCAACACTGCAATCTAATACTTCAGCAACTATTGCTATCATTTTTGTATGTAATCCTTGACCGATTTCTACACCGCCATGACTAATTACAACTGAACCATCTTTATAAACATGAACAAAGGCTCCTGCCTGATTATAATGTTGAATTTCAAAACCGATGCCAAATTTAACTGGTATCATACTAACACCACGTTTTCGATATTTATTTTTTTGATTAAATTCTTCAACATTCTGTTGTCTTTGAATAAAGTCACTTGATTTCTTAAGTTCATCCAAAATTCGTGGAACATTCCAGTTTTCTAAAATTTGGCCATAATGAGTTATATCACCTTCTTTGAACAAATTCAAACAACGAATAGTAAATGGATCACATTTTAGATATACAGCAATATTTTCTACTATTGTTTCACATGCTAGCACAGCTTCGGTCCACCATAACCACGGCAACCTGAAATTAGGAAAAAAAAACGTTTTATTGATCTGAAATAAATTTTGTAACAAACCAGTGTTTGATGGTAAATGTGTTTTACAAACACGACCACGAATTCGAATATTAGAAAATTTATATGAATTCCCCATATGAAGCATAGCACATTCCATAATACTTTTTGATAAATCTAACGTACAACCAGCATTATTCCACATTTGAATATCAAATCCTAAAAAGCGACCTTCATTAGTAAATGCTACTTTATGTTTAATTTTAAATGGATGCCGATGTCCACTTATTGACATATCGACAGAATGATCAGGATTGAGATGAATAGGACGCGCAATTTTAACAGCAGCTACTGCAACAGCAGCACAGAGAGGAATAGTAAAATGAAACAAAATCATTATTATCTAATACATTGAGTGAATTGAAAAATTCAAATTTAAATAATAATAAATATAAGAATAATATTGATATTTCACAGTAATATAAAAACTTCGTGACTAACATTTAACTGATTTTAGCTAGTGTAAATAAAAAATATTAAAAATAGACCAGAAAAAAATCATTACGATCCATATTAGACTCTTTTGTCAAATACGAAAATTCCACATAGAAACTGTTATGTTAAACATAAGACAAATATGATAGGCTTAAATTGAAAGAATGAACTACTTTACTTACGGTCTTGTTCCTTTGCCACCTAAATGCTCCACCAATTCTTTTAACATGGCATGTTATATGATAAACATTTCGTCCAAGAACAAATGCTATTAATTCTTGAGTACCAGTAGGGTTTTGTGTTCCTGTATATATATTTATTTCTTTATCATCATTTGACGGTATAACCATAAAAGAATTTGTTTTCATATAAAAATGTTCTTGACCACCAATGTATAATGTATCTTCTAAAATATGTTCAGCATTTTGAAAGACATCGTCAACATCACCTTGCTGAAGAGATATTTCATCACCAAAATAAGATTGATAAATAATAGCATCTTCAATAGAGAAAATGCTTGATGACAATAAATCATAACAATTTTAACAAGACTTGCAGCTAGTCTAGCTGCATGTTCAGATTCACAAACAATAATGCCAATAATAGCACCAATACAAAGTGCTATCGATGATACGAATACTTCTTCACCAGGTAAAAATTCATCTAACTGATTCGAACCTGGTACATCAGTATAACTGACAAACGATACAAATCCTGCAACTTTTGAAGCCTCCTCAATATCTATACATAAATTAATTTTAATAAAATTTAAACAAAATATAAATAAAAAAAACAATTTACCAATATTTTTAATTCGTGCATTTGCTTTTTTACTAAGTACAAGTGCAGCATAAAGTGTATGAATGTGAGATGGCATGTGGATAGGTGTGGGTGTGGGTGTGGGTGTGGGCGTAGGTGTGGGTGTGGGGTGTGAGTGTGGGTGTGGGGTGTGGGTGGGTGTGGGTGGGTGTGGGTGTGGGGTGTGAGTGTGGGTGGGTGGGTGCGGGTGCGGGTGTGTTAGTGTAGATGTTGAATTCATCTACACCCACACCCACACCCCACAGCCACAGCCACACCCACAGCCACACCCACACCCACACCCACACACCCACACACCCACACACCCATATCCACACCCACACCCATACACCACCCACACCGACACCCGATGCAAGAATGTGACTCAACAAGCTCGAAACACTCAACACGAGAAGAATCCATCAAGCAGACAACGCGCCAATACTCCACAACCGTTACGAGAAGCTCGATCATTGACATCAGTAATGACGAGTAGTAAACAAACATTACAATCGCATACATCGAGATCATGACGTAAATGAACGACAAAGTAATTCAAAAAGCATTATTTACATAATAATTCACAACTGATAAAACAGCAAGATCTACCAGCGTTTCGCGGCATCCACATCGAGAGAGACATGGCGTGAGTCGTTTCGTGGCACCCCCATTCAGAGAGACGTGTGTGTGAGTGTTTTCGTGGCACCCACATCGAGAGAAACGTGATATAAGTCCTTCCGTGGCATCCACATTCAGAGAGACGTCATGTGAGTGATTTTGCTACACATATATCGAGAGAGACGCGATGTAAGTCGTTTTCCGGTCACTAAAGTCAGATCCTGGTAGACTGTGCTGTTTTATCAATTGTGAATTATTTTGTAATTAGTGTTTTCTAAATTACTTTATAATTCATTTACGTCATCCAACGCATACATCAGTTAAGGAGAAATGTCGAAGATTACGACGTTTGAAAAATCAAAACATAAATATCTTCGACCAGGCATGAGTTGAAATAGAAATAAATAAGTTAATCGAGGATTATAATTATGCGAAGAATGGAAACAAAATCGTTGCAATAACAGACAATAACAATGATCAAATACAAAAGACAAAAACAGCTATTACAATAATTACTGAAAATACGAAAAGAAAGAAGAAAAAATCCCAAAAACGTATAATTATCGATGACTAAACTATTGGACCAAATCATCCAATCTACTTTTTCAACGTCTACGTCTACAGTTAAAACAGTAGTTCAATGTCAAGAAACAACAAAGATGCATCCATCATTCACTCCACCTGTTCGATCAACAACAACATCTAGATATTTATCGAAATTTCTGTCAATCTTTTCTGACACTTAGATTTGAACATAACATATGACCAGTAAGTTCTCTAAGACACAATCATCTAAAAAACAAATCGATTAGTGTTTCTCTTTCTACGGAACAATCAAGAAACAAGTATATAAAAAAGAGACCACAAATGAATACGAATTATGTCAATAATTGGTTCAGAATCGTTTGATACAACTTTATCGACCATATGATCAAAGTACAATTGAAGCAATCATACAATCTCCCTTAGGTCCATCCAAACTCTTAGCATTGGACACAATCGATCATAATCGTAAAGAATTTGTTCAATTGTAACTAAAATATTCATTCAATAAAATACTTGTCCATTATTAAGAAATCTCTATAAGAAAAAGAAAAACAACAACTTTTCGTTCATAATCTTCTCTATTTCGGATAGAATCTTGTCGACGAAAGCCACAACTGGAACAAGATATAAAATCCTACGACAATTTCAAAACCTATCTATTGCATATGGATTCAAATACTATTGATTAAAATCGTGCAGAACAGACCGCGTACTCACTAACTAGCAATGAACAAGGTGGATATAAACCAAGGACATTACAAGAACATAATCATGGACGATATGCTTATTTACCTATATTTCCAAGCAAATATGATGGTCCAAATGATTGCTTACTCTTGGCTAATGTACCAGGTTCGTTTTTTTCATTCAATCTATACTGATCATAAATCGTTTCATTTCATGGTCTTTTAACGAATCGTCTTGCATCTCATGAGATCACTCGACGTCAACATGGAGCAGACACGTCGGATGCACTAATGCTGATGAGCAAGTACAATTATTCTGATGGATTTAGTTTATCTGAACAAGATGCTGTAGAACTAGCTACACAATTACAAGTAGGCAAATCAATCATTACTTTCAATGCTGATCAACTTCGTCGAATCTGTTATACTCTTCTTGCATTACATGAAACATTTCGACGACATGTTCTATTTAAAAGCGATGTTCCTTTAAAAGAACCAACATTGAATTCGAAACAAATGGCTATGGCATTGGAATTCTATCTACAAATAGATGGTTAGGCTTCAGGGTAGATATATATGTTTCATATTCTTTAGTGGATCTATTCTACATGAAAACTTGCTCGTTTCGAGAAGCTGAATCTCGATCTAACATTGAAGGTCTATTCTGTGGAAGTGATGAACATCAAGCAAGATATGCATTGGTTCCATGTGCTGATCTCTTTTGTTCATGTTGTCTTCCGTTACATACTTACAAGAAAAGTCAACCATGGCCTATCGTTGATTTTACTTCAAGTTCAATGCATCGATTTCTCAACGGTTATACTACCTATCTCAATTGTTCAGCAGTATGTTGTTAATCGAACATTTCATTTCCATCAATGTAGTCTTTTGTTGAAACTTAGACATGTACTACATCAAACATAGTCTATGTTATGACATGTCCATGTGGTCATTATGATTATGTTGATTCAACAGCAAAAACATTGGCTGATGCTATGGTTTGTAAGTATAAATCGTCTTACGATAGTCATGGGCATGTCTTTATTTCTCTTCTTCTTCTTCTTATAATGTAGATCATCGGCAACATGGTAACCGAATTATACATGAAAAATTGACGGGTAGTTCTCTATTTCGAGGATCACAAATCGATCCGGACGAGAGAGAGAGTAATGAAAGACACACGATCATTCCTTTGACTATGCAATATATTCTATGTTTTTTTTTCTTTGTCTTCATTGTTGTAGGAAAGAAATGGCTAATCAGATGCGTCTCTATCAACATTCAGCTCGATGTCCAGCAGCACTTCGCTCATTTCTCGATTGCAATCCCATGTATTGGTGTTTTATTCCTCAATCATGGAACGTAGCATTGGAAGAAAATGTTTCTTATTTTCCAAATGCTTCCACTACAGATCCCAATCTAGCTGCTGTGATGGCAACTACTGCCATAGACAATCGTAGAGTAGCTTTTTATCTAGACAATGTACCATTACCACCAGCTGCCTATGCCTTCTCATATCCACAGATACAAAAACAGCGTTCATTTTTCGAGCAATTTGTTGCTTACTCTATTCATCAGCGACCTTATATTGACTTAGACTTGTATAAGGTGGCAATCATTGCTGTTCGTAAGTAAACTTTTCTTTATGAACTAACATCATCATCATCATCATCTTTATCATTATTGAATTTTCTTTTTCATTGATTTAGTATCAGATGATTGTTCGATAATATTACGATACATTATCGAAACATTGTTTATTATTCATGGTGAAACTAAATTGAATATGATTTGTCCGCTTGGCGGTGATGTTGAAAAACGCTATGGTCGTCCCTATGATCTTGTTTGGCGTGCTAATTTGAATCATTCATCGACATGAACTATAATATCAACTCAATGACATATGAAAGTGATAAAATCACTATTATTTATAGAATATAAACAACATTCATCATTTCGTAGATAATTATTACTCTTTAGTGTTTGTAGTGTGTTTGTAAAATAGTCAACCCGAAAATAAATGCATATTTGTTGTGTACTTTAGCTCATATCATAATCATATACTATTCTATTTCAGATTAGTAATATCCATGAAATAGACAGCATCGATTCTCTGCTCACCTGAGCAGTCCAATGATAGACATGTGTTAAACCATGATACATTATTAAAAAACTACCAACAACTTCTCACATATTTGATTGATGCACAACTGGACCATAAGAAAACAACTCGAATGGAACGATACATTAAACAATAGAATCAAAACTTTCCTTGATCATCTAACCATCAGCTATTAATATTAAAATACAATTATATCAATAAAAATATACAGGTCCTACATGATTCTGTAAGTAAACCTCACAATCTAACAGAAAAACATTCTAGACTGAATTGACACTCATCCTTTTCAACTGTTTTAGCAATTTAGAATAACTCAGTTGCTATTTTTCATGCAGTGCTTCATTTCGATTCAAATGCAACATCACTTAGAGAGATCTTCGTCCAATACTATTCTCCGTTAGTAACATCGATCTCATGAAATTACTAGTCTTATCAACCACAGTAAAATATACCAAAAGAAAAGAAAAAATGACCTATTAAGTGATAATCTATCATTCATTCCTGTGTAACATCAGTCACAGCTATCTCAGAATCGATTCATTAAAACCTGTGCATTAGATTAACAATTTATTTGCTAACAACAATTCGATCGCTTAGCATTGACCTCACACTGCCCATAAACCATGAGCAACCACTCCGATATTTAACTGAGCAAAACCATCAACTGATCTCCATATGACTTCCGTGCAAAACTCTAGCGGGCGAACTTCACTATAATCGTAACTCATGTAACTGATACCAAAAATCTTATTATACGTCTTTCACATCTAAGACTATCTTGTTCACATGCGAACGACTCTGAGAACAAAACAATCATATCTACTCGCATTACACTACTTCGGCTTCTCATCGTCCATTTATAACGATCTAACGATAGACAACATTACACCCAAAACATAACTCAAAACAACTCCGACATATGAACCCATCTGCATAAGATCATTGAATGATAAACCACTGTTTTCTCAAAAACCATCTCAACCTAATAAAAATCCATTCAAACTCATATAAATATCCGAATTCCTGAAACCCATTCAGTACCAACATCCCTACTCCCTACTGAATGTCTGAATACAACTTCGCGCATCAATTTTACTACTACCAACTCAATCAGATTTCACATCAAATCGAAATACTTGAAATATTCTGGTAACTCTTCATAATCTTGACACGATTCTTTTTTGATTTTCTCGGCGAAAACAATTTTTGGTATTTCGTACTCATCTTTGAATCATTTGTACTGATACAATCGCCACTTAATAAGATGTATCATCAAATCAAAATACTTCAACTATCGTGGTATCTCTTAACGTGCCTATCCACTTGATAAGATTATTTTCAGTAAGATCGAAATACTCTGGGTATTATGGTAGCCATACACACTCATGAAACATATTCAGATAAAATGACTTGAACAAATGTCAACTCCTCTGATAACCAGTGATATTCTTGTGAATAAACGACAACCTCTTCATCTGTTGACTTTATCGAAAAGTGAACACAACAAAAATGTGTTCGTATTACTTGATTTTTAATTTTTTTTTGTTTTCATCAGTGATGATATCTTGTTCTTATTACTATTTTTTCTGTAGGACACGATACTATGGACCATCTTTAACAAAATGATATCGGTCAATACTACATGGATCAATGAATATTGTTCGTTTTCAATTTTTTACTCGTAGAAGTTGTTCGTTTGCAATAGAGTTGTATTAGTATTGAATAGATGATTTAAAAAATACAAGCGTATTTCGGATACTCTATCACATAAGCTTATGTTGATTGGTTTCGTTTTGTTTTTAGATAATTTCAATTAATAGACATTGTTTCCATAGGAGTACGATGACTGACAAGCGATATTCCAATGCTCAAGCTCATTGCTGAAGTCAACTTTCGGCTAGTCAAGTACGCACACCACCCAACATCTTGCATCCTCCGTCCCAACAACAACCACAAATAGTGACGACGAAGCAAAAAAAGAAGAAAAGCCGTGGTGATCGAGCAGAACAACATTTTCAACGAAGATTGCGTCAACGAAACTTGGATGAAGAAACCAGGGCATTATTAGTGCAAGCAAGAGTTGAAAGAAAACGAGAACAACAACAACAAACTGTGCTTGAAACTGAAATAGAAGTAAACGAAATTGGTAATCAAATGATCAACATGGCACAGGATAAACAAATGATGGTAAGAACATTTATCAAAAGATAAAAACTAACTATATCAATGATTTCTTTTGTTTTCTAATGATTAGGAAATTCCATTAAATGACGTCATTCCTTAGTCTAATTCGAAGAAGCGTAAACGCAACGTACCGACTAAAATTGACAGACATTTAAGTAAATCATTGAGTCGATTATCGATTTCACAAGGATATTCAAAGAAGGTGAAGAAAAATGTTGCATCAAACAATGTTTTAACAAAAATGATCCATGAACTGAATGATCAGCCAAAAATATCAACAAAAAAAATTAAAGTCTACTTTCGTACCTCAATATTTGACAGTATCCAATCGGAAATTTAAAGAAATATTATCAAAAGTTGTTCACGATGGCCATCAAATTTATGAGTGGCTAGACAATGATCAAAAGTTAAAATCCACACGTGAATTAGCTCATATATTTAACTTGATGAATTATTTAACATTACAACAACAACTATGGCAAGATTATTTTGATATCGGTATGAACGATGGTGTTTGGGCTCCACGAGTATCGAAGTCAAAAGCTAAAGAACATAATACATGTGTATCATATGGTCAATCAGAGAAATTTGTTGAACAACGTCAAAAAACAATTCAACATCAATTGAATCGTACTGAACGCCAATTACAACAACATCTCGCTCAACTACCAGAATGGATAGGAAAAGTTCAACCTTCCATTGATTCAACATTTCTCTCAAATGCCATTCAAGCAATGATAAAAAATGGTCTCTATCGCTTAAATGCTTAATTCAAACATAAACAAGCCATGTTAAAATTCGATGCTGATGATCATCACTTGATTGCGGCCGTCTATGACTTGAAACCGACTGAAGAACAGGTCTGTGTCTATAGCATAGATTCGTTATCTTCAATGGAAATTAATGAAATTGATTGTTTGACATTTTAGATTGTGCTCCTAAAAATATATTGGCAAGCCGTTGCAGATGAACAAAAAGCACTCGAGGAAATGGAAGTACTTCGAAAACGAGTGTCATTAAGACGACTTCCTCAATCATTGGATAAAATTCTTGATCAATCCATTGCGTCTATTCAAACAATGCTCTCACGTCCTATTCTTAATAAAGATCGACGTGCTAGTATGGCATCACGTTGTTCAAAAACAATTACACAATATAAATTTGATATGATGGCTATGACCATTGCTATAGCTCAAGATACGGCTCGTGTTCATGCTCAATTGGCAGTCGATACGAAAAATAAATTACGACTACTCGACGGTGATCAAATACGATCTTCCACTGAATTACCCATCAACGCCATGGAAACTCATGCAGAAAATATGAAAAAACGTGCACAAGAATTACTTCAATATAAATTGATGTCTTTTTTCGAGCAGGCTCCGGTGGTGGACAACGACGAAGGCAACGCATCCGCCGGAGCAATCTAAGCATTTATACAAACATCACTGCCTCATCACCTTTCATCGAAACTGATTTAAATCTATCGCCAATACAAATGTCCATGCTTATCAAAGGTCTTAAATATATTCCACCATGTCAAAGTCGATTCTCACGTCAATCTATTGATGCTGTTGTCAATGAGCAATACAAGACTTTGTATTCCATTGTTCAAGGTTGCCTTGATGATCATCGTATGCAGCTCGTAGAGCCACGTGAAAAGGAAGGTTTTTCATCCTTGAAACGAATCCTCTATGAACTTCAATCCAAAAAATTACCACGTAAACTAGGAATTCGTGCTCGACGTGAACGCAAAGTAGTCCGAAGTATTATAAAAATTTTACGTCAACGACCCGACATTACTGTTCGTTGAACTGACAAGAGCAAAGTATTTTATGTAGGTAATGCTACAGTTTTTGCCGCGAAAGCATCAAAATATTATCGAAACAGAAGCTTATCAGGAGATCTCGAGCGACCATTGTATTTTATCGGAAAATCTTCATTTGGTTACTACTCTTCTAACTTCTCTTTTAAAAAAGGGTGCTATTAATCAAGAGCAACATAAGAGCACGCCTCCGAAAACAATTGCATTAGAATTGGCACATCTTCATTTTATCCTAAAACCACATAAAGTAAGTTGTTTATTGTATCATTACAATTTGGACGATATACATATTATCGTCGCTTTTGAATTCATTTTTATCTCTATTGTTTCATAGCCTGATACACCATTACGACCGATTGTAGCAGCTATTCATATACCAGCAACAGAAGTGTCCAAATTTCTTAATGATCTATTAGCCCCTGTATTTCTACGTGTTGCACGAAAGACCACTTTTATTAATGGTATTGATCTTGTTCGAGCATTAGAAAAATATGTTACCGATGGTCAGTTAAAACCAACGACCTTGTTTATCACTTTTGATGTTGAAAATCTGTATACAATGATCCCACGGCAAGGTGCTTTAGAGGCATTAATGCAATTTCTCGAACGACATTTACACAACAAGAAAATTGGAACATTGCGCATTGATGATATCATGAGAATGGCTCGTCTCGTATTGGATACAAATATTTTTGCCTATGAAAATAAATATTATCGACAAATACGTGGTGGAGCTATGGGATCCGCCTTTACACGAACATTAGCCAATATTTATATGTTACATTGGGAACAAAAATTAATACAAGATCAAGAAGCAGACAAAGAAATCTACGGACGGTTAGTTGAAAATCTTCGCATGATATTTAATACCATTAACGATGTTTCTATTGTTGTCTTTAGATATATTGATGATGTATTCATGACAACAAACTTAACATTCGATCAAGTTAAAAAAAGATTAGAAAATGCTCACAGAAAAGATCCAAATATTCGAATTTCATATTCCATTCAATCTACCATCGACTTTCTCGATGTCACAGTCAGCAATGTTAATGGTCAATTGAAAACAACAATCTTTCATAAACCAGCCGCTGAACCCTATATACTGCCTTACACATCCGATCATCCACGAAATGTTTATCATAATATACCATATGCAGCTCTATTGAGAGCGGCAAGAATCTGCTCGAATGTTGAAGATTTTGACATAGAACGCATTCGAATTGACCTATCGTTATTACTAAACGAGTATCCACCTTCATTCGTTTCTAAACATTTTCATCGATTCTTCCAACTCAACCAGGCTATGCCCGTATTAGAACGGCTTGATTCAGACGTGTACCACGAAATACATCAAAACTTACTTCATAAACCAACAAGAAAAGAAAAACAATTACAAGAGACGATCGAAGATCTTGATGCCTTACCTGAACCATTACAGAAAAAACAACTTGGGATCCGAATGTCATGTATGCAAAATATAACTTCGAAAGTGGACCAAGATTAGCCTTTCAACGTGAAGTCCGTACTTGGTGGAAACAACATTTCGGACACGCAGGTTCTAGTGTCGAACATGTCTAACTAAAATTTGCCGTCAGAACTAATCATACTCTCGAAGATATGTTTGTGCACAAGAAACCTCCAAGACATATGCTGAAACGAAAACCAAACCTAATCCTACAACCAACAGCTAATAAAGACAATGCACTCGGTTGAAAACAAAAACTAACACGATAACCATGTCGATCATCAAATCTTATCACGAGGAACATACTAAATTTTCACCGATATAAATAAATAAAAATTTGCTCGCAGCACTAAACATATTTTTCTCTTTTTCTTCAAAACTTCACAAATCGATGTACAAAACACAACTATAAATTTTCCTTCCTTCTTTCAGATATACTTCATTTTACATGACATCTACAACCGCCAACGGCTAACATTTAAACACGTCGGTATATGAACCCTCTGCCCCAAACCATTTGGACAAACTACCATACACAACAATAACTCGAGGACATACCAACATTCTAAAACTTAAACAAGACTATTTCATTATCACCTCATCACATCAACTACACCAAAAAAAACTAAAACGCGTCGTAAGTATGCTTGGTTTCTAAAAAATTCAATTCTATACATACCTAGTTTTGAATTTTCTGCGATTTCTAATAATTCTTTTACTTTCTTTCTTTCTTGAAAGTTAAAGAACTATTTGTGGTCATTTTTCAAAAATTGTGTTGGAAGTTTGTTGAAAATTTTCCTTGTAAAGTTTTCACAGAACTTTTACTATTTTGAAATTTGATCGACATGCAGTTTATTTAGATTCCGAACTTACCTGAAGAATCGCCCTTAAGCAAGGCCGAAACGCGTCGTAAGTATGCTTGGTTTCTAAAGAATTCAATTCTATACGCACCCCACCCACACCCACACCCACACCCACACCCACACCCACACCCGTACACGCTGAAGCAAAACGAAGGTGTCCAAAAAGATAAAATACTGAACTAGAAGACAATTGATAAAAAAATTCATCTTAATGACTTTTTTCCTAAAAGCTTAATATTAACTCAGCTTGTAGAGCAACAATTTGAAAATTACTTCATGAATAGCTCACCAACGGGTTTCTTGATTTTGCTGAAAATATTGATGTACATTCATTTCATATAAATATATAACCTATTAAAGAATTCGTTTTCCGTTCATGAGAAATTGTCAAAATTTGATTCTATGTTCAAAGGCAGTTTTCCTTCTACTAACACGTTTTGAAGTACATCTAAACTCTAGAAAACTTGTACTTCAGCTGACATGCAGTAAAGTTTTAGGAAATTTTCACTTTATAACATAGCCATGTAGTATAATAAAGAGCGCTACTTAAAACTGATTCAGATCTTCCTTCAGCTTTTTCTTCAATGGTACGAAAAAGTTGCAATTCATTTTTATCTGAAATACCAAGAACAAATTCTTTTTGAATAAGACCAATCAATTTGATGCGGAATCCTTTGGTATTAATTAATGTTTTTAAGCAACGCAATAGGAACGAAGAACATAAAAATGTAGCATATTAGTAAAAAACGAGAGTATCATTATAGTCTAAAAAATTGCCCATTATCGCTCATCTTGATGATAATGTATATTGAATTGTTGCTGTTGTATCCGAAGCCCAATCTTGGGGTATTGAATATTCTTCAGTTGTTTCTAAGGATAAAGATATATTTACTGTCATTCCCAATTGTAAAGTTGGTAGGCCTGTATCTTTGTTTAATAAAAATCCTTGGAATGGTGCTCGCATTTCCAATTCGTTGCCTTTTGCACTCCGTGCATAAGTTATGATACCATTGAATGGTCCAGGTGCACGGTCTTGAGAAAAGCAAACATAATGATTATCATATGGAGCAGGTAACTCATATGGTCCATCTAAACATCTTTTCGTTTCATCTGGAGTTGGCTTTTCTCTCCAATAAACGTATTCAGTGTAATAATCATAATAGGCACGACGAAATGAAAATCTATTTTGTATATTTTCTTCTCTTGTATAGTTGTTTTCATTGGTAGTATTAGCAGCATGATCAAGACAATAGTTTTGATTAAATGTACCATTATAGAATTCGATTTCAAAATTTCCATCAAAGCCAGGCGCAGTTGGATAATAACCACCTTCATGTAGCCAATAACCTGTTGTGTCATTCATGTCGATATTAACTGTCGTTATTATATAAAATCTTCCAGCTGATGGTTTTGATGGATCACTCTCGTTAAATAGACCCGGTCCAATTGAAGTCTTACCAATGACTCCATCATCAACCACACGATAATATACATATAATGACGAATTATCGTGAGCTATTTTAAATTCAACTATGTTTACATTTGGATTATAAATATGTTTTGGTATATCAGTTTGTTTTTGTGAATCTGTATCATGACAATCTGGAATTTTTAATGAAGGAAACCATGGACTTTCTTGATAAACCGTACCATCTATATTATCCACTGGGTCAGTATATGATCGAACATCTAACCAATCATCAAAATTCCCATCAACTACTATATTTCGATTTATTGGATCAGGTTTCAAAATGTGAATTATAGAAAACATAAGTAGTACTCTATTTAATAAATTCATTTTTATTGTCAGCTACTTTTAGCAATGAG